GTTCCCAGGGCTTTTCCCTTTTTGTCATTGGGAAGGCGGGAAAAGGCCCTGGCACCGGCCGGTCACATGACTTTCAACACCCAGATATAGTGGGTGTAATAAATTATATTATTATACATTTAATATGTATTCTCGTTTCTAATTGGTCAGAAAGCACCGGCTAATTTTCAGTATTCGGCATTTATTACGTATTTTCCGCCGATGACGTCATCAGCGTCCAATAATTGTTTTTTTGGATCGAACTTGCATCAAAAAAAAAATTATTGGACTCTCTCGTGCCCAAACCCTTGCGCGGCCAAAAGCTTGAACCTATAAGCGCGCGAAAAAAACCCAAAACAAACAATGGCCTACAGCAGATTTGCTTTGCTGATTGAAAGTGAACTCTCCAAATTATTGGCAGATAAGGACAGTGAAAGCACAAAAAAAGCCACAAAGGGGTAAATAGAAGTAGAAATAGAATATTTAGCTGACCTTTGACTTTGTGCAAAGTGTTTGATATTCATATTGTACTTTTCCTACCTCGTGAACAGGAATTTGTCGTTTTAATGTTTCTCATGTCTTTAAATGTATAATAAAACAATTATTGGATTCGGCTTTCGCATGATATCAAGAATTATTCAGACCTCGGTCTATGTTATCCGCCTCAGCTTCGCTTCGGCAGATAACATTGACCTCGGTCTGAATAATTCTTGATATCATGCTCAGCCTCATCCAATAATTGCTTAATAATAATGAATTAGAAAATCCAAGATGGCCGCCAACCTAAGAGTGTCCACAAAATTTGAAGTGCTTAGAGCGGCTTAAAAATGCGTTTAGTCTTTGAAATTTTTCCTTCTTTTTGCTACCGACGTACTCGAAATCAAATTCTTCAGCTTTTATTACATGGGAACTATGTAGTTGCTGTTCTTCCAACTGGGTTTGGTGAATATCGTTCGTTCGTTAAACAAAATTAACAGCCAATTGAGCCAAAATATAGTATTACGACAGATGTTCTCCAGCTGGACAGGCTTACCTAAGAGGACACGGAAAGTGTTTTGAACTGGGGATGTTAAACTTGGTTTTACCCTTCCAAAGACTCTGCTGTGCGACGATTGGAGCGAGTTTATGAGGAATATTTTATACAGTGATTCAAAGAAATGTTTTTGCATATACTGTATATGTTATTGATTATTGTTGAATGTCACTTATATTATAAAGTGCCAATGGTTGGAATATTTATTCATTGATATTTTAAACACAGATGAAGTGTTATATGCTCTTTCCTTGTTTACGTTTTCCTTGCAGCCAAATGTTGTTGAAGCTGGCAAGCTGCAAAACTGACATATGAGTGATATGACCCAAATATTGGATATGCATCTTAGTTTGCTTCCAGTAAAATGTAAACAAGACCTTAAGAATTCTATATGAGATAAGAAATATTACGTTTAAAATCATGACTGGCAAATTAGCATGTGCGAATTGATGCTTCCTAATAATAGTATGTACTCCAGTAAAGCTTGCTTGCTTCAATTCTTGCTGTTACCATCTGCACATTATCAGGGTGGAGAGTTGATTTGAATTTTTTGTCCCAGGGGATAAAGGTAGGGAATAGATTTTCCATCACAAAAGGGGCAAGGTGCCCAACCAGTTAGAAGATGGCATGTACTTTAAGTGACCATTCATTATACCCTAGGGTGGGGTGGGAGATTCTTATGTCAAAATGTCATGGGACCCCTTTTTAATCTCTTAATTTAATAATGGAGACCCCTCCTAAATATTTAAGACTATATAACATGATGCAATTCTAATCTTCATTCATGTGAATGCCTGACTATGAAGAAAATACATTTTGCAACACAGGGATGGATCCAGCATGATCTGGTGGGGGGGGGGGTGCTCTGCCAGCTCTGGTGCCGAGTTGTGTCGGTCATGTGTGTCGCCCGCCCATCAACTTGCTTCACTACTGCAAAGTCTTGCTTTACTACTGTATTTGAATTGTAATTGTTGTTCACAGCTTGCTTATCATCATGTTATTACTCAAATTACTGTATCTCATTTTGCCTGTAATAATTTTTTGCTTTATCATGAAAAATAGCAACCCCCTGCACCCCCTCTGGCCAGGGCTAGGGGGTTGCACCCCCAGTAAATCCATCCCTGTTGCAACATACACTATAAGAGCTAGAATGATTGGTTCCTTTGGATGATTTGTCTTAGAATTATATTACCTATATTACAACAATTCCCATTCTGAAACCAGTTGCTATTCTGTTTTTTACAACACTCCCCCCCCAAAAAAAAAGACACAACAAATCGAGGACCCCCTCCAAGGCAATTTTGCCAGCAAAATATATTTAATTTGATGGTAACTGTTCTGAGAATATATTACTTAACTCATTGAGTGGCAGCATTCTGCCTAGACTTGCCACAAGTCAACCTCTAACGAAACGCAAGCAGCGAGTGTGAGCCGACGTTTCGTTCGAGGTCGACTTGTGGCAAGTCTACATTCTGCCCTTGTGTAAAATTGTCTGGCACCAGATGGAGTAATATACTAAAGTAGGGCACATTGCCACTATAAAGGGTTAAACAAATTTAAAAAAAATTTGCAATGGTCTATATTCAACAAGCTCTATTTGTAAATTTTAATTGACTTTCATATACCTACTTATACTTATAGCTACCTTGCCCCAGTCACTTCAAGTGAATTCTACGAGAGGAGGGGGGCATTGAAAGTCCCTGGGTTTACTTGGTAAAAGCAAGAATTGAACCATGCATTACATGTATATGGAGAGCAGTTTTAAATATATTTTATCATGCAAATGCCTTGATAATTGTTCTTAAATGTCTTTGGCTTATAATGGGTACACCCTCCAAGGGTGTTTATTTACAGGATCCAAAGGTGTAAATATACACTGTCCAAGGTGTTAATAGAAACAACAAAAACAATGTATATAATTAAATTTTATTAAATAAAATGTGCAATATTTTACAAATTGCATTACCATCCCAAAGTGTACATAATTTATCAATATAATTAGGACTTAGAAGCTGTTCACATGAGTTTGACTCTGACCCAGCACCTTTGGCTAGCTCCCCTTGCCTGATCACAAGTAGAAAACCTCCAACCCCCTCTGACAAATCAGTCCAGATCTGCCCAAGAGGCAGGATTTTCTGGAATATTATTAGCAGTGAAATTGTTGCACATTTTCAAGCATGCATTGTAACCTGATTTTAAAGCCTGTTTGAACATCAGACATTGTGGCAATGGCAAGATGGTCCAGCCATATGAATACAATCTTAAAATATCATAAAAACAATGCAATTTAAGGCCAGACAGCCCAACTCCTGCGAACAGCCCTTTATTACACATTCGAAGCATCTCTTGAGGCATCAAAGTAATGTACATGCAGGCACATGGAATTATATACGAGTATGTGACATAAGCCCACCATTGCACAACTTTGTCTGCAACAATGCAAATACAACAAATGCAAATACAACCAGTATTTTGATATATACATTATGGCTCATATGAGTCATGTCTAAAGACACCTGCACTTTCATATTGAAATTGTTCTAATATCATCCAAACAAAACATATCAGCCAAATGAGCAAATCACTTTTTTAACACAATTTATGGTAAAATGAAGCAACATGTAATAGTATCTGAAACAAAACCAAGTCCCATATTATTCAAAAGTTGTACTTGTATAAAACACTGTTGCATATATAATATAACAAAATATCGTCGCATTTCTAGTGGTAACTAACTATAAATTAAGCCAATTTAAACTCGACTATGAAGAATATTAAAAACTAAAAGTCATGTTTCAGCTTATAAACCCAGACTTTAGTTTAAAATTTATAAATATAAACATTAATGCTATACGAAGCCAATGAAGGCACATTTTGCCCTAAATACTCGGTCAGAGTTTCAGAGGTGTGTTCTAGTACACAATTAATCTACTCTCACAGTTTAAACAAACAATAATACTAACCTTCGACAAATTGT